ACTGTTATTGAGGGTATGGTAAACAGAATAATAGCCCTCCTAAAGATGTTCATGTTGTATTTCCCAAAACATGTGAATATGTTATATTGCATAGTAAAAGAGACTTTGCAAATATGATTGAGATTATGGATCCATGTGGTGATTGTGGGGGAAGGGGGCTTAAAGGGGATAAAAAGTACAATACAAATAACTTTAAAAAAATATTGTGGATCTTGAGATGGGGAGATCATCCTGGATTATCTGGATGGGCTCAATCTAAAGTATGAGCCCTTAGAAGTGGAGAACGTTTCCCTGCTGAAGTCGGAAGAGAGGAGTCAGAAAGATAGGGCAGAAGGGGGCTCAGAGAGATTCAAAGAATGGCCTGGAGGTCGTCAGGGACTAGGAGCCAGGCGGTGTGAGCCATCCGCAGAAGCTTACAGCCAGGAAGCCAGGAAGGAAACAGGGACCTTGGTCCTACAACTGCATGAAACCAAATTTTGTCCAAACCCTGAATGACTAGAAGCAGATTCTCCCTAGAGCCTCCAGTAGGTAATGTAGATAGATAGCTGATACCTTGTTTTCAGGCTTGTGACACCCAGAACAGAAAACACCAGCTGAACCCACTGGACTTCTGATCTATAGGTGTGTGAGATAGTAAGTTGTGTTGTTTAAAGCCACTAATTTTTGTGTTTCTGTGGCAGCAATAGCAAACCTCAATAAGTCCCAATTTAACATTGTTAAATTCTGCAACTTTAAGCAAAATGACCTGTAATGAAACCAATTTTACTGTAAGGAAATTGATATAAACAAGAGTTCAGTTGTATGTGGAGTCAGGAATGCAGAACCAGATTAGCAGGGGTGATTCTGACTCTCATGAGTTTGCACAGAAGCTGTCCAGAAGCTAGAGTCATTTGGAGGCTCCTCTGGAGCTTCAGGAAGCGTTCATGCTCACTCAGGTGGTTGTTGATAGAACTCAGTTACTTACCATGAGTGCCTTTTCATAGCGCTGCATACAACATGGCAGCTGACTTCTTCAACAGTGATTGGTGAGAGAAAGCGAGAGAATGAGTTTGACAGCATCTAAGTACACAAAGACAGAAGCCACAGTATCTTTTAAAATCAAATCCCAGATGTGACATATCCTGTCTGCCATATTCAATTGCTTACACAGACCAACACTAGTATAAGAATGAATTGTACTACAGAAGAGTGTGATTTTCAGGAGGCAGAGATGGTTAGGGGATCATGTTGAAGGCTGGCTACTGCAGGATGGATGTGCCTAAGATGACAAATTACCAGTTGTAGATTACCTCATTTGGCATATATAGTCCCAGGTCTTCAGTGTGATTTTTAAAAATTATATAAGTTTCAGGTGTATAGCATTATAGTTTGACGTCTGTATACACTACACAGTGCTCACCCTGAAAGTCTAGGTTCCATCCATCACCATACAATTGACCCCCTTCACCCATTTGGCATAGCTCCCGAACTCCTTTCCCTGGTTACCACCAATTTGGTCTGTATATTTGTAAGTTTGTTTTTTTTTTTCTGTAATATAATTTCATGCAAATTATTGAGCATTTCTAAAACTGTGTTTTTTCATTTGAAATTGAGATTAGTTGAAACTAGTTTTATATGTCAACACTAGATACCATCTTAAGCTACTTTAAACAAACAAGTGTTTCTTAAAGTTCCTAGCACTACTATTCTTCATTGTGCCCCTTTAAGATCAAGGATTCTGAGGTATTTTTTGAGAAATTCAAGGAAGGTTGAAGATAGACTATTGTTAGAGTACAAGGGTTTCAAGGTCAGATGTGTTCTTAACGCTATTCTTGCTAAATGTTAAAATGTAGCATAAGAGTTTGCACAAGCAGCTGTAACCTGATGAGCTTGACTAGGTGAGCCTGATGGGAAGTAAGTTCAGCCACTATAAGAGATCAACATGTAATTAAACAAATAGTGTATATAAGCAATGGCCAAGCCTCCCTTCTGGATCTAGTCCTGTTTTCTTTACTTGATGCAAGTAAATAAAATTACTTAACGAAAACCGTGTCTTATTTTTGAATAGAACATCCCAAGCAGTGTACCCCTTGAGTTAAGTAACCCTACAACTGGTTTTTCTTGGTTTAATTCTTTTCTAAAAATATATTTTATTGATAATGCTATTACAGTTGTCCCATTTTTAATCTCCTTTTTATTGCCCTCCCACCAGCATTCCTCCACCTTAGTTCATGTCCATGGGTCATACATAAAAGCTCTTTGGTGTCTCCATTTCTTACACTGTTCTTAACTTCACCCTATCTATTTTGTACCTACCATTTATGCTTCTTATTCCCTGTACCTTTTCTCCCTCAATCTCTCTTCCATTCCCCCACTGATAACCTTCCATGTGATCTCCATTTCTGTGATTCTGTTCCTGTTCTAGTTGTTTGCTTAGTTTGTTTTTGTTTTGTTTTATTTTTAGGTTCAGTTTTTAATAGCTGTGAGTTTGTTGTCACTTTAATGTTCATATCTTTGATCTTCTTTTGCTTAGTTAAGTCCCTTTAACATTTCATATAATAAGGGCTTGACCTCCTTTCACTTGACCTTACTTGGGAAGCACTTCATCTGTCCTTCTACTCTAAATGATAGCTTTGCTGGATAGAGTCATCTTGGATATAGGTCCTTGCCTTTCATGACTTTGAATACTTCTTTCCAGCCCCTTCTTGCCTGTAAGGTTTCTTTTGAGAGATCTGCTGATACTTTAGTGGGAACTCCTTTGTAGGTAACTGTCTCTTTTTCTCTTGCTGCTTTTAAGGTTCTTTCCATCTCTTTCATCTTGAGTAATGTAATTATGATGTGCCTTGGTGTGTTCCTCCTTGGGTCCAACTTCTTTGGGACTCTCTGAGCTTCCTGAACTCCCTGAAAGTCTATTTCCTTTGCCAGATTGGGGAAGTTATCCTTCATTATTTTTTCAAATCAGTTTTCAATTTCTTGGTCTTCTCCTTCTGGCACCCTTATGATTCAGATGTTGAAATGTTTAAAGTTTTCCCAGAGATTCCTAAGCCTCTCCTCATTTTTTTGAATTCTTATTTCTTATGTTCTGGTTGAATGTTTGTTCTTCCTTCTGCTCCAAATTGTTGATTTGAATCCTGATTTCTTTCCCTTCACTGTTGGTTCTCTGTAGATTTTTCTTTATTTCACTTTGCATAGCTTTCACTTTTTACTCTATTTTGTGACCATACTCAACCATTTCTGTGAGCATCCTGATAACCAGTGTTTTGAACTCTGCATCTGGTGTGTTGGCTGTCTCTTCATCACTTAGTTCTGTTTTTTGAGTTTTGATCTGTTCTTTCCCTTGGCCATTTTTTTTTTGCCTCCGCACACCTGTTGTGTTGTAAGGGGTGGAGCCTTAGTTATTCACCAGGGTGAGGCAACCCAAGTTGCTGTGTTATGTCGTTGTATGGGGAGGGTGGGTTCTAAGAGTGAACAGTGCCGCTTGCTTGGCTCTCGATTGGCTTTTGGTCACTTCTCTCGCTACCCACAACAAATTGGGCCCATGTGGTGCTAAGTCCCTGGCAGGTGGGTTTGTGTACTTTATAGGATCTTGAGGGTTTATCCAGCAAACTCTCCTGCAAGGCTGGGAGTTTCTCCCACTGCCTTAACCCCTACAGGTTTTTTCAGTCTGAGGCTTTGAGGCTTTATTTCCCTGCACTGGAACCTGGGGTTGCATGGTCTGTCTTGCTCCCTAGTTGCTCTTCACGGTTTACCCGCACATAAATGTGGGACCTCCCGGTCTGCCAGCTGCTGCCTTGCACAAGTCTTCTCTACTCCAGCTGCCCGTCTCCACCATTCCTACCGGTCTGAATTAATGTTTCTTCTTTAACTCCTTGTTGTTGGACTTGTATACAGTTTGATTCTCTGGCAGTTCTGGTTATTTTTTGTTTTTAAATTTGTTATCCTTCTTTTGATTGTGTGAGGAGGCAAAATCTATCTACCTATGCCTCCATTTGGGCCAGAAGCCAGTTTGGGGAGTCTTTTATATGTCAAAAGTTCAGTCATTTCAATAAATAAATCCCTGATTGTTAGAATTTAAAGTGTTTTAGTAAAGTAAATAACTTTGGGCAATGCAGAAGATTTTAAAGCATTAGTCATTAAAATTTAGCACATATGGTCTAAGTAAATGCCAGAAGAAATAAAAGAAATATGCTGTGAAAATTCAGAAGATAGATAATTTATAGTTTGGGAGAGTGGAAAAGATGTTATGTGTGTTTTAGCACTAAAGATAGGACTTTGGGGGATATTTAGAAACTGGGAAGGTACAAGAATTTAGGGTTGGGGGTAGTAGGTAGTATTTTAGTTTGACCAAAATATAACCTCTGTATTATTGGTTCCATATAGTGGGTTGAATGTACAACTTTTTTTTCTTTCTGCACCTTCTTAAAATTCACTGAAATGACTTTAGTAAAGGAATAAAAAGGTATAAATCCACAAGGACGTAGAATGCAAAAGAGATATAGCAGAAGAGAGAAATTAACAGAAATTTGGAATATGGAAGGCAGATAGATGAGGGATAATTGGTTTATTAAAGTGTAGACAGTGGAAACAAATACCTGCAGAGTAGGAGGCCAAGAAGAAGCATGCCACCTCATGGAATTCTGGATAGGCTGGGAACTAGAAGCATCATAGGCTCGTGAAGATGGGAGAAAGGATGACACTAAAAAGAAGGGAATGTGTTGAATTTCTATAAGCCATCACTTAGAACTTTGAAGAAGCCACTTTGGTGTTGGAAAATAGGTGAGTTGACTGGTAATACTCTGTACTAGCAACTAAACACTCCCTAAGATCCATTCATTTGGTCAGTTGATTAACAGGACAGACCAGAAAAACTGTGAAATATGGATGGTTGTTCTAAATTTAGAGAAGAAGAAAATGAGGTAGCAGTTTGGCACCCCCTAATTTCCTGTGGGTAAAATCTGTTCTCCTCCTTAATGGCAAAACCCTCTCAGTTTTAACCCTGGGTTTTCTCTTTTGCTCATCAGAATCTACTTTGAATAAAGTGCTTGTGCCTGCGTGGCAGGGTGAGTCTCCTCTCTAATTGTGTGTTGTAAGACTATAATCTTGTTAAAGCAGTTCTAAGCTTATTTATCATGATAATGGCCACAAATTAACTTGCTCACTTTGTGGGTGTATCTAATTAATATGGGAAATTACTGTTTTCTTCCTACCTTTCTACCTTGTTTTCCTCTCTGCTCCATACTGAGTATACATGTATATTTGCTTTTTTCTTTTTCTTTTTTTTTAAACTAGCAGGAAGGACTAAAGCTAAACTGTCTTATAGTTACTAGAAATTTTAATTCTTTTACTGATTTCTGCAGAAGAGGGAAGAATTAAGATCAGACTTAATCTTCTGGTAATAAATTCATTCAAACAAGTATTTATTGACATTCTGTATGTCCTAGCTATTGCACTAAGCTTTAGAGATTTTAAAAAAGCCAAGTTTCTGATTTCAAGGAGATTACAAGAACATTTTATGGGGTAGTTTGACAAGTAAATACATATATGGTACTATTTACTAATATGGAGAATACTGAAGGAGGAGCAGGTTCATGGGGGAAATAATTCATTTTGAATATATTAAATTTGAAATGCCTTTTAAGTTATGCAAGAGGAGATGATATATGAGATAGGGAATTCATTGGCCTGAGACTATAAATTTGAGGTCAAGTAGTGTGGATGGTAATAATCCTAGAAACCAAACTCTTTCCCAGAAAAAACAAAGGATCTCCTTCTTTCTCCCTAGTCCATAGCCTCTCCCCTTTGCAGTTTATTTTACCAAACTTAGAAAACTGCTCTTCTTTCTGCTCCTTATTCTCTTCTTTTTCCCAGCACATCTAATTTTTTTACCCTCACCTAAGGACATGCTTATTGATTTTAGAGAGAGAGAGAGAGGGAGATGGAGGGAGAGAAACACTGATGTGAGAAAGAAACATGGATCAGTTGCCTTGTACATATCCTGACTGGGGACCAAACTTGCAACCAATGGAGCCACACTGGCACGGGCCAGCCTATCTCATTTTTAAATATTATTTTGGAACAGGACTTTCTCTTCGGCCCAGTTGTTCAGATTCTGGTAAAGTACAACCCATTTTCATTATACCCTCATCCAATCTCCCATGCTTATGATTTCCAATCTATTACGAGTTCAGGATGGCATTTTCTCTTGTTTGTCCACCAGAAGTCTCTACTTTCTGGAAACCCTGTGGACAAAGGAAGAACAACTTTCTTCTTGTATCAGATGACCTGCTTATGGATATTTAAACTTAAGAACCCAAAAAACTCTCTCCTCGGTGTAGAAATATTGGAAACCATGGCTTTTTAGAGTGAGAGGAGGAATAATGAGGCATCCAGCAATGTTTAAAAATGACAAGCATCCCAAGAAAGTTGAATTTATTTGGATGATATAAATTTAATTTAACATTATAATAATCAGTTATTTATATTGACAGTTTAAATGATAAAAATACCATCTCCATAGATGGAGAAAATGTATTGAATACATTAAACTGCTTTTAAAATAAAAATTGACAGGTAATAAGAAATAGTGAGGGATACCCTTAATCTGATTATGAATATCTATAAAACAAACAGGAGGAAAACCAGGGTAAGTTGGAAACAGAAGGTATGGATTTGTTTTCTTCATGTAGTCTGTGACTCTAATCTAAATTCTGTTCTTTCTTGTGGTCTTCTCTTTTTAAGCATTTAAATTATTGTTTATAATTACTTAGTTTTTTACTTTTACAAAATTATAATTGGCATTATTTACAATATTGTAATTATAATTACGGTATATTAGTTTCAATGTACAACATAGTGATTTGACATCTATGTATCTTATGGGTATTTATTCAAAGAAGATGAAAACACTAAGTCAAAAGAGAAATGTACTCCTGTGTAATTACTTATTTATAAGTAACCTGTATCAACACTTCAGCTGTGAATAACAAACCCTGTCATACTGTGGGTATACTGTTAAATGTAACAGATTTAAATGTATCTTTCTTATATAATAGTCCAGGAGTGGTATCAAGGAACTAAGGATAATGTCAAGGAACTGAGCTTCTTCTCTTTTTCTACTCCACCATTCTTATTTTTTTTATTCTTGGATCCTCAATAAGATTGCTGTACTTCTAAGTATCACATCCAGGTTCTATATAGGAAAAAGAAATCCATGAAGGGAAGGGTGTTATCTATCAGAGAAAGTAAAACTTTCCCAGAAAGTTTAACAGACTGGCAGTGTATCTAATTGGCCACCTCCAACATGTGAACTCTGTCCTGTGGACACACTTAGCTGTAACAGGAGATTTAGTTAGCTGAGTAGCCTGCCTTGAACAAAATTGAAGTTTGGTTAGTAATGAAGAAGGGGAAATGGTTATTATTTTGACATGTTGCAGTGACTACAATTAAATACTTAGTATCCTATTGTTATAGGAAAGCAGGGAAATGCAATTTCTGTGGAGTGTCTGGCCCTGTTAGAGTTTTTGTATGAAAGCATAATTGGGTGCATATCAAAATAGGGCTTGTAGCTCTGGCTTGTGTGGCTCAGTGGATTTAATGCTGGCCTGCGAACCGAAAGGTCACTGGTTTGATTCCCTGTCAGAGCCCATGCCTGGGTTATGGACCAGGTCCCCAATTGGGGGCAAGAGAGAGGCAACCAACCTTTGTTTTTCTTGCACATGTTTCTTTTCTTCTCTTTCTCCTTCCCTTCTCCCCTCTCTGAAAATAAATACATAAAATCTTTAAAATGCCTTTAAAATGTAGCTTTTAATATAATAAATAATGTATTAATGCATAGTAGATAATAAAAGTAAAGTGCATATGAAATTATGTTAAAATTTTATTTTGTCTCAATGGTGAAAGTTTAAATTGAATACCTAGGAGAGCACCTGTTACACAGTGGCTGTCCAACAGTTATCTTCCTATGAACAGAAAGGCATTTAATTCTGTTCCAGGCAGCAGCATTTTAAGTCTTTAGACAGAAAATATCACATAAACAAGAATAAAAATTAGAATAGTGTTTCATTTAAGATGCCTAAACCTTGGGTTTCAGCTAATTGTTTTCTTAAAAATAAATTTTAGAGAGAGAGAGAGAAATGAAAAGGGAGAGATATCAGTTTGTTGTCCCACTTATTTATGCATCCTGTGGTTGATTCTTGTATGTGCCCGTATCGCAGATCGAATCTGTATCCTTGGCGTATTGGGACAATGCTCTGTCAACTGAGCTACCTGGCCAGGGCTCAGCTAAGTGTTTTTAAATGAGTGACGCCAGGACCTGCACTGGGACTAGATACCTTTTTGGGATGGAGGTGAGTGGAGGAAGAAAAGGGACTTGGTGAAGTAAAGTAGGAAGGCAATCATTGTATGAGAATATATCCCTTTGCTTCCTATATTTAAGTAATAAATTTTTTAATTATAATATCTCAGGTTTGTATAAAACTTTCATATTTTCTAAGAGATTTCACAGATATCCCATTTGAAACACATACTAACCAGAAAAATGACTCCATTTGAGTCAACAAGCAAACTGAGGCTCAGAAAGCTCCTTGTCCAGGGGCTTGTGGCCTATAAATGGTCAAGTTGAGATCAGATGTTTGATTTCCTGATTTGTGGTCTAGTTTTTGGGTAATACATGCTGTGTGACCATGTTACAGAACACAACAAGGGGGGCCTGGGACAATATACTATTATTTAAAAGGCCCCCAGGTCCGTCATGTCCGCCGCCCGAGGAAAGACGTCTCTCAATGCCAGAGATTCGTGAAAAGGAAAGGAAATGTTTATTTAATGCTATACAAACTTAAAGTAGTGACCTAATGTCTTCATCAAAATCCCAAAGTCCCTTAAAACACCCACAAACATGCAGTCCTTCCTTCCTTACCCCTTTGCCCAGTCCAGAGTACCGTATCTCAGGAAAGGAAAACGAAGTCCATGGCTCAGGCAATCCTCTGGTTCTTCCCAGTTAGTCCTCCATCTCGACTGGGAGACCTCCCTGGGTTCCCGGCACCCTCGGCTGAGTTGCCGGGATCTCTGCTAAAACCAGGTGGTGGCTCCCCCTTCTAAAGCTGCAGGGGTCCCCACTCTGGCACAGGCATGTGGTCCTCTCTCCCAGGGCCACAGGAGTCTCCACTCTGTCAAGGCCCCGTGGTTCTCCTCTTCAGGGCTGCGGAAAAGGGAAAGTCCCCACTCTGCCAAAGCCGCGTGGTTCTCTTTCTCCTAAAGCAGCACGGTTCTCCTCCTCAGGGCTGTGCATGGCTCTCCTTCTCAGGGCTGCGCATGGTTCTCTCTCTAATGGCCGCCAAATCTGGGTTTTAAATCCCCGCGGCCAATCTTCCTCTGCAGCCTCATTTCCGACTCCTCCCACACTCAGCTTCACATGCCAGAATTCATATCCTTCTAGCTTTACTGGGCTGCCTTCATGAGTCTGGGCAGGTGTGGCCCCATGTCCTGGAGCCAATCTTCTCTGAGCTACCATGCAGGCGCTGTAGCTTGGGGGATCTGCCCCTGGTCACGTCTTGGTGGGCAAGTTACTTCCATTCCCCTGGCTCAGAGATGATCACAGCTATTTAACATATCTAAGCGACCAGCCAAAGGCTATAGATAAGTTAAATGACCACACCAGAGGGTAGCTGCAAAGCTGTTGCTATGCAAAACAGATCTCAATGGCCCTGCTCCATTTGTCCCTTCCCCCAACCCACACCCTGGGTTGGGGGATGGAGACATCTTAAAATCTCCTGGACACCTTAAGTTCTGGACCCCATTTCAAATGCCCATTTGAGGTCCCCCCTCTTGGCTGCACCCTGTAACAACCATACGTTGTGCCATTGGAATGTCTTTTATTTAATTTGGATGTTATTTTAAGTGGATATTCACTCTTTTAAAATGATAATCGTGGATAATATTTGCATTATAAATACATCATATTATTTTCTTTAATTATTAGATAGTAAACGTATATTGTTCTCCAGGCCCATTCATGCAGTCACAAAGGGTAAAATTTTCTTCTTTATACAGCCAAGTAGTATTC